TTATTTCAACCACTTTTTTAACTTACTCTATACTCACCAAAAATACATTTTCTACACTCAAAATCAACAATCTTAAAAGAGCTTTGTACCACCACATCTCTTATGAACCAATTGCCTACAAACTGTCTAAACAATAAAATTTGCTCTAACTCCATACCTACACACTCCACATGACACTCCACTTCCCAGTATTTTTTGCTTGTTCATTCTTGACTGTACAGTGCATAACTTTTGTTTTATTCATGTTTATCTTGAGCCCTTTAGCTTCAATTCCATCTTTCCAAATTTCAAATCTTAATACTAATTCCTCTTCTGTTTCTGTTTTCTGCTATCAGACACAAATTATCTGCACAGAATAACTCCCACGGTAAACCAACTCTGAACTCTTTAGAGAGAGCTTCTAAAACAATAATAAAAAGCAAAGAACTAAGTACTGAACCCTGATGCACACCAACTTTTACTTCAAAACTATCATTCTGTCAATCTCTTGTTTTGATTGTTGTTGTGACATTTTCATACATAGCCATGATGACTGCCACTAGCCATTCTTGAATACATAAACACTAACAATTATAAATTAATACTTATATGCAATGTTGTTATTTAAAGGAACTATTTCTGTGATACATCATAAATCATGATGAGAGAAAAAAAATATTAGTAGCTTGCCATGTTCATCCTACTTCTGGCTATATGGGTAAAACAAGGACATTAGGCAGGGTAAAAGAGCGTTTCATGTGGCACGGAATGGTAAAAAATGTCCATGAGTTGGTAATTTACATTTTGCATTATTATGCGTTAGAGTAAATACAAAAAATTTTGATTTTCCCTAATAATTTATAATAAAGTATTGCTATACCATTCTATTCTGTTTCAGCTTATATCATGTGATGTATGCCAGAGAATGAATAGAAAGTTAAACTGTGGAAAACCAGAGATGCACCCAATAAAGGTAAAAGCTCCATGGTATATGGTTGGCATAGATTTTATTGGCCCACTCAGTCCAATTAGTGAAGATGGTTGTAAATACATTTTAACTATTAGTGACTATTTTTCAAAGTAGGTTGAAGTAATAGTCACTAAAGACAAAACGGCAGTTACAGCGGCAGGATGTCTGTTCAAGGTATTACATTTTTATTTCTGTCATTGTTTTAGCATCCTTGCTAAATGCTACCTTTCTGGGTATCAAGTTTTTGTGTCCAAATAGTTTGCAACTTTACATTCTATATTTCCAAACAATCTTAAAATTCCCTGATAATCTCAACTTAATACACTGATTTTCTCTCCAATTTCTTGATACATAAATCTATTTATATATGAAAATTTATTACAAAATTATATCCCTAAACTTATATGTAATGAAACTATTTTGGATATCCGAAAAAACAAAAAATAGAGAAAATATCAGGAATTCCAGAAATATCCAGAAATATCCAGATAATCCTCGAACATTAATATTTTTTTTGTAACTTCTATTTTTATTTTTTGATTTTGTCTAAAAAAGAAAAGGCATCAATGGCAGAGTCAGCCCAAATGTGATAATTACACTTATGATAATTGTTGCTAAAGTTGCTCTTTTTAATTTCTAACCTGAATTATTCTCTTAATTCACATGCTTGTCATTTCTTTTCAGCTTTGAAAATGTCCCTATAAATTTATCTTACATACCACTTTCTTTCTGATCAATAAATTTCTTAAACTTTAATAAATTAATTCCATTGAAAAAAAAAAAAAAATTACATTTAAATGAAGATAAAATAATATAATATTATATCTTTCTGAAGAGTTCAAATGTGATGATCTTGAAAAGGAATCTGATGGTGTATTTGTTAGGATACACTAGGGAAAATTAAGTTGGTTTGGGTATGTAGAGCGTAAAGGTGCTACTGATTGGGTATCAGCATTTAGAGAGAAGTTTTATAAGAAAAAGTGAGGTAGGTAAAGAAAATTTTTGAAAGAGTTAAAGAAAGACGATGCACAAGATTGATGAAATGTGCAGTAGCGGATTTAGTATAAGGCATGGGGGAGAGCTGCCACACACACACACACTCCCTAGAACAGGGAGAACGACGCCCTTTAAAACATTAAAAAATATGTATGTAATATGTATGATAAAAGTCATGTAAAACCAACAACAACAACAAGCTATTTATTTTATGTTTATCATTTTACAATAGTTTTGATAATAATAATAATAATAATAATAATAATAATAATAATAATAATAATAATAATAATAATAATAATAAGAATATTGATAGTTGACTGAAGGAACGATTTATTGCGCTTGAGGAATGAAATATTGCGCCTGAGGAACGAAATTCCGAAACGGAGGAACGATATGTATATTTTGAGGAACGAAATTTTGATATTTTATTATTTTCGTTCAAAGGAATGAAAACAATCGTTCATTTGAATGAAATTTTAAAATATCGTTCAGAGGAACGAAATATCTGAAGAACAATTAACAATCAGAGAAGAAAAAGAACTACCACGAGATTTATTATTTTCATGTTTCTAGCTGTTTGAAAACGGATAAGTTTTTTATTATATTTTTTTATTATAATAATACTAATTTCTTTTTCCATCTTTTATTGATTGATTTTGTAACATGTTATCTATATTATATATAGTATTTTAAATTTTAATAACATTAGCCTAATTTTTAAGAAATGTTAGCCTAATGATTAGGTATTTCTGCATTTAAGTCTTTCTAGTTTTTTTGTAGTTTTGTTAAAATAAAATATTTTCGACTCAAAGGTTTCCTCTCATATGTCCTAACTAACGTAGGATAGGAGAATGACCTTGTAAAGAGATCACTCTCCTATCGTCTCTAATTCTATAAGTTTAAAGTCTATTTTTTAGCACTTGGTTTTAAGTTCAGTATAGATGTGATATGTGGGATGAGTAGAAACGGTAGGGGAAATTGAAATAAAACTTTAAATTTACACTTATATGTTATAAGTTATAACAATGCAAACAAAAATTTGTTTACTTATGAACTACTTATTTAGTTTCATTAGTTAGAGAATTTTAAATTTATAAAAATATTTCTTTTCATGCCATTAAAGTTCCATTAAATTCCTAATTACATTGAAACTCTCATTCCATTAAAAACTCATAAAGTTTTTGTTTCTATTTTGTTTTTTACTTTTTTTACTCATCCAATTTTATGGCATCTCTTTTATTTCACATGTTTTATATAAAAAGAATGCATACATATGTAATTTTTGTTTAAATTTATTGTTTTTGTTCTAGGCTATAGAATTTTCTGGGTTTAGTTGTCTACTCCATTGGATAGTTATTGTTAAGTAGTGACAAACGCCAAAATGAATTTGACTCCAAATGACTCTAAGAAAACCTATTTTAATGTTAGTAATTATCATTGTATTAAAAATTATCTATATGTTTTTTATATTATTTTTATATATCTCAAAATATTGTATTAATATATTGCCTTTTGCTTTTGGAAATCTTTGCCGATAAGCTCCATATATCGCACTGTTTAAGATTGCATTGATTCTTCACAAATTTTATTATGTCAACTTAGTGTCAATATTTTTATGGAACACAGTTTTATTGTAATGATTTTTGTGCATTTAAATTTTTTTTTTGTTATCAAAAGATGATGATTTTTTAAAAATAAAAATGACTTCAGATACTTTATAACAATGGCATAAATTTTTTTGGTAGAGCAAAATTTTTGAATTTAACTAAAAAAATGGCTTAATATATTTGATACATTTGTCAATACTTTGATAAATTTTTTTAAGAGTTATAAAAATTTTAAAACTAGTTTTCATTCAAATTTAATACTTTTTTGTTTTTTTTAATATTAGCGACGTTCTGGGAAATCATCAGAGTACAATATTTAAGAGGTTTTACAGAATGAGAATCTTTATTTTGAGAAGATCTTCATGGACAATATAATAGGTCAGTTTTTAAAATTTTAAATTAAAATTTAATTAAAAATTTTAAACATTTTGATAATAGTTTGAGTGTTACTTTTTAGATAACTTGATACTATAATTGTAATTGCTTTAAAGTAATAAATTTCACCTTTTATCATTTTTTAAAAATCTGATTTTCAATCTTCCCTTTGACTTGTAGTAAAATTACAACTTTGTTAAAAAGACCTTTAAAAATACTTTTACAATCTTATTGTATGCAAATGCTACTTTCATCAAATATATTTTTAATAATATTTACTTTACATATCTTTTGTTTTTTGACTTACTTATTGTTTACTTATTACTTATTTGTTTTATGAACTTTTAACTTTTTCACTCCATATTTTGTGATAATTATATATATATATATATATATATATATATATATATATATATATATATATATATATATATATATATATATATATATATATATCAACCCTCGGAATTAGGAAAAATTTGGTCAGAAAATTATTGCCGGTCTCAATCTTTTTGAGGTTAGCATCAGGTCGGCAAAAATTATTTGATACAAAGGTCTGACCATAAAACATAGAAGCGAGGTCGGCAATTTTTTGTCGACCTAAAACACTTCCAGGTCAGCAGTTAGCTCGGCATTGCGGAATGCTGACCCTAATTCTAAGGGTTGATTATATATATATATATATATATATATATATATATATATATATATATATATATATATATATATATATATATATATATATATATATATATATATGTATATATATATATATATATGTGATATATATATATATATATATATATATATATATATATATATATATATATATATATATATATATATATATATATATATATAATTATAATAATAATAGTTTTTAATAGACACACTTTTTTTTTTCAAGTTAAGGATATGACCTTAAATAATAAAAAAGATGACTCTATTAAGTTTAACAACACACAAGACTGCAAGAAATTCCACTATTAAAATGAAATTTACCAGAAAAAAAAGGAAAAAAAAAAATTAAAGAGCAAAGAAATGGTTGACAGAAGATTTGAAAAGCTGTCAGGAAAACATAAAGATGGGAAAGAATTCCAAACCGTGAAAGTGAGCAGCATGGCGGAACTAAAAAATGTTTTTAGAGCATCTATATGCAGATATAGTAAAAAAATGAGACTTAACTGAATGACAAGTCAAGCTAAAAAGAGAAACAACTTTACAATGATGCGATGGAAGCTCAAGCTATGAATAAATATATATATATATATATATATATATATATATATATATATATATATATATATATATATATATATATATATATATATATATTCTATGAATGAATGAAGCTATGAATATATATATAAATGAAGCTATGAATATATATATATATATATATATATATATATATATATATATATATATATATATATACACACACACACACACATATATATATACATATACACAAACATATATATAGTATGAATTTTTGACATGTGTTGGTCAGCCATATTAAGTTTTATAAAGCAAATTATATAAATAATTAAAATCTGTGACTGTTGCTATTCCAAGCATGAGTCTTTTAAACTCATACATGTACGGTTCATGAAATCATCTTTAATGTGAAAAATATAAGATGATTATAACTATCCAAGATTACGATACACAAGTGACATAGTAAAATGAAATATACTTTAATTTTTATATAATAGTTTACTAAAAATCTTTAAATATAATAGGTTATGGAATTTTTGTAAAAAAAGATTTTTATCCTGGCGATGTTTTGCTTGAATATAAAGGTAAGTTAATAACCAGATTGGAAGCTGAAAAAGCTCATGAAGAATATCACAGCAAAAATGAAGGGTGTTTTATCTTTGATGTAGATTGGAAGAATTCTAAAATGAGGTATTAAATTAATTTAGAAAACTAATTTAGTTAAAAAAATTTAACTGTTTGTTATATATTATGTTTTGTACCGCTTTTTTTTTATTCTCAAGTCTTATGTAGCACTTTCTTCACTCATCTACTTTTTATTATTAAACCTAGGATAATTTTTTTTTTTTTTGTTAATTGGCATTTAATTAACAGTTTTTTAGATAAATTAATAAGGATAAATTTAAGATAAATTAATAAAAAAATTTTAATTTAAACTACCCTACTATAAAAACTTCATTTTTATTTATTTTTTCCTTCTTTTATTTTACTTATTTATAGCTATTTATTATATTTAGCTATTTTACTCTAATATACAAATCTTAATATACAAAAGTAGTTTTTTTAAATTGTTTTTCATTTCCTCATTTTTTTTTACAACATATAGGTATTAAACATTATTAAAAAAAAATAGTTTGTTTTATATCTTTATTTATAGGTATTAGTAGGTATGTTTTTCTTTGATCTTTATCCTTAAAGAGTTAGTTTACGGTTATAAAAGTTAGAAAAGGTTTGAGTTTATATGTAATTTTTTTTAGTATTGATGCAACATATTCTACTTGTCTTGGTCGATATATAAATGATGCACCTGAAAGGTTTAGTAATTGTAGACCAAAAACTCATATAATTAATGGTAATCCACATCTTCTATTTTTTTCGAAAGTTTTTATCCCCAATGGTACCGAGCTTCGATATGATTATGGAGATCGTAAAAATCAAAACTGGAGAGAATTAGTAAGAGCATTTGTTTATTTTAAAAATTATAAAAACTTTGAAATTAGATTATTGAATTCTTTTTGTTTATTGCTACTGTTATTTTGAAAACTTGAATTTTTATAATTAAATTTTTATTTCAATTATAAAAACTGAAAAGGTTCATGTGAACAAAACATGTGAACAAACATATGTGTCACAAACATGTGAACAAAAAAACTATTTGAAAAAATTTTTTGTATTTAATAGCAGTTTAGATATTTGTATCCATTTAAATAATATTTAGAATACCTGCTTTGAATTTTTATATCAATTGTAATGTGTTGATTAATTACAATTGATATAAAAAGTTTGAAAACCATGACATGGATAATACGCAAATTAATAAGTCTATTCCACTGACCATTTCCCATTTCTATTCTTATTCTTATAGTCTTTTTGTTTCAATAATTTTTAGTAGAAATCAAAATCTTTAAAATCTTTGTTTTGAGTTAACAGTTATTTTTGCAGCTTATTAGGACCCTCAGCCCATTTATTAATTTTGAAAAAATAGAGTTTGAGTAAAATCTTTTTTTCTATAAACACGAAAGTTATCTTGTCTTTAATGTGTGTTCAACACCCTGACTTCACTAATTATTTGAGCATGTTAATAATAAAAGTATCTTCATCATGGTAATTGTGCAACAAATTTTCCCAGTATTTTGATGTTTTTAGAATTTTTTTTTTAATTTCAACTTCTTTCCCTTTTATTTGTTATATTTTTATTTGTTATAACATTATATATGTTATATATATAATATCTAGAGAATTTTTTTTTTTTTTTTTTGTATTTTAAAAAGTTTAAAAAGGTTTAACAAAAAATTAAATGTGCAAGTAAAAGGATTTGAACCACGAGAAATCACTTTAGAAACACTGAGATATAATCATCTCAGCCACTAAAACATCTTTTTTGATAAATTTTGTATTATATAATAAACAAAAGACTTAATTAAATAGCAAATAAATGCTATAAATCAAAGTTAAGGAGACACAATGCAGTTTTTATGTAAAATTAAAACTTCAAAATTTGATATATTTTTTATTATTACATCTAATTTATGTAAACTTCAAATTATTATATAATTTAAAGTTTACATAAGTTTTTTTTAACTCTTTCTTGCCATTACCTTGGTTGCAATGGCTGGCAAGAGTTTTGTGTCAAACACGCTAGTGTTTGACACAAAACTCTGTCAAAGAGTGGAAACTACTACTACTACTAACACTACTACTAAGTTCAGTATAAATAAGAAAAGATTTAAAAGATTTTTACATATAATATGTTTTATACTGTTTTCAATTAGTTATGTTTGTTTAATTTTTTCACTGTACTTTATTATTAAACGTTTGGTTATAGTTTTTTTAGAGAGCTTGTCTATTTTGAACATAATTTTATGAAAAGTTTTTGATATATTAATTTTATTTTTTTTTATAGTTATTTTGATTGTAATAAACAAATGATTATTTTTCTGTTACGTATTTGGTCTAATATAATCAACACGATTTTTTTGTTGAGATTTGTGTAATAATTTTTTTAAACTTTCTTTTAGAAAAATTATATTCAGCCATTTACAATGGAAGAAGTCAGAAACTCTCGTTATGTTGGAAAAGTAAGTAAAAAGAAATTAAAAATCTTTTGTTTCCATTTATGTAATTTATTTAGTTTTAATTTAAACTTATTAGGTAATTATTATTATAGATTAAAATATATATATATATATTTTTTCTTCTATTAAAGTACTTTCTATTCAAAATAGTTTCCAAAAAGAGCACACAATTTTGATTTTAGATTTGAACTCTGATTTGGCAGATAATTATGTAGAAATAGAAAAAATATACAATTTTTGAAAGTATAAAATTATAGGCACTTGATCAATTATATACTTGATATGTTTTAGAGATTTCAGCTACTAATGCTAGTAATTCCTATCAATTTAGCAAAGTTCTGATCAGCAATTGTTTAAATAAAAAAAATGAAGAAAAAAATAATTTAGACTTCCTGCCCTACCCTAAACTGTCAGTCAATGTAGCAGCAACTTTTTTTTAATGTATTTCTTAAACAAGTTGATGTATGTAGAGATATCCTTCATCATGATCAAACTAGGTTTTCTCTTAAAACTTTTATTAATTTAAACTGTTTTCTTAGATTTAATAAAAGAAAGATTTTTTTTTTACCTTGCTTAAGTCATACATTTGTTTAGTTAAACAATTTTCTTGGTCTCTAGAATGTTTAAGTTATATATATATATATATATATATATATATATATATATATATATATATATATATATATATATATATGTGTATATATATATATATATATATATATATATATATATATATATACATATATATATATATATATATATATATATATATATATATATATATATATATATATATATATATATATATATATATATATATATATATATATATTATTGGTTTACTGATTTTATAACTGATGGAATATTTATATTTGTATCTTGCATTATAATAAAAATTAATATAAATAAACCAATCTTAATACATTTTTAAGAATTTTTTGTGATAATCATTTTTATTTTAACACTTTTCTGTACTTGAACAGTTATGCCTCATAAAACTCTTTACATATATAGTGTACAATTTTTTTTTATCTTAACTTTTTTTTAATCATATATCTCTTGATGTTAGAAAATAAGATAGTTCTCTAAACATGGCCAAGACATCTTTATCTTTTCCTTGATATTTTTTCTGGTCCACCTGCTAATGCAGTTGTACCCTCAGAGATAAAAAGTTTTACCAATATACAATTTTTTCTCCATTATTTATTTCAATCTCTTTTTTGACTTCTTCTCTGTATTACCAAAAGTACTATTTTTACACATACCGACAATTTTAAGCAAACTTTTTACAACATTTTTTATGAGTTTCTTGCCGAATTCACTTGACAATAATCACACTCTTATTTTCCTTTAAAACTTTTTAAAAACCTTTTGAATTAAATTTATAATCTTTTTAAAAGTTAATTCTCTTTAATGATTTGAATTTGATTTAAATCTTTTCATCTACTTTTAATAACATTTTGTGGTCACTTGTATTCATGAATATTATTCGTTGATATGAAACACATTTTAGTGGCTCTCCAATTCTATTGTATGTCTTTACTTTCCCAATTTTCTTCTGATTGTTTGAGATTTTACCTTCAATTGCATTGCAAAGGTCTGATATCCACTAAATCCACTTCTCCTGAGCCGTTTTAATATCTGATTTTATTTCACTTCTGTTTATCAGCTCTTTATGTCACCACTTTAAAATTGTGTTTTAAAAATGTCATATTTTGATTTCCACATTTTTATCACAATTAAATTTAGTTAATTTTCAATAAAAAAAATTTTTTCTACATATATTTTAAATGAAATTTTTAGAAGTTAGAAAAAAAAGTTATACTGACTGCAGCAAAAGTAAGTTCAGTACAGATTTTTAGTTATTTTTTTAGTTATTAAAAAATAAACTGTCATTAAATTATTTGCAATTTAGGTATTAAGCGCTTTCGGTGACAAAACGCCTGATAATCAATTAAGGTTCGAATTGATTTTGTGTTATTTTTTACTAAAATCATAAGGTAAACCTGGTACATTTTGATTTAAGGTATTTTTATTTTATTAATGATTTTATTTTGATTATTTTTATTTAAAAAAAAAAGAATAAACTTTTTATATATAACTGTACTATAGAAAACGAAACTATATAGTTTTATTTTTTGCCATTATTATTTTGATTTTTTACTTATTGATTTTTAATACTGGTAAAATCTATTAAATACAGTATCAATGAAAGTCAAGTCTCTGAAAAACCAAGTCTCCCATCAGAAAACTTCAATAGAATGTATGCTAACTCTATATTACTGGTGCAACAAATACCTTTACTTTAAAGTTTCTTTATAAAGAATAAATAAAAATGTTTTTAATGAAACAATTCAATCACAAAATTATTTTTAATTAATGCTAATTATAATAAGGTTTTGTTTGTTTAGATTTGATGTAAAATTTGTTGAAAAGTCACAATTTTCATTGCCAACTCAGTATGTTTTTATGAAATTATATTTTTTTCAAATTATTTTTATTTTTGATGAGTTTTTATTTATAAACTAACTTGTTTGCAGCTTTCTAGTTATTGTTATTATGATAACAATCAATTAACTGTAGGGCTCACAATTGCAAGACTCTAAAACATAACAGTATGAAAGCTAAATTAAAAACCTTTTAAAAACCTAAAATAAATGCATTGCTTTTTCGAACTGCTGTAGATCAGTTTTTATCTTAATAAATAAAAAGGACAGTATTTTAAAATTACTGGAAACCATCCTGTTACTTTAATTTCCCCACTTTAAGCACTGTTAAATTATTATTGTTATTATTATTTTTATTAGATATTATTTATTGTTCAAATCAGTATTATATTGTTATGATATATTATTTATAAAATTGGTTTTAGGGACTTTTTAATACTAAAATAACCTTTAATATTAAAATAACATGTTCACATTTTGTCTATATTAAATCATTTTTGTCTAAATTGTTTGTGAGTCCTATGTAAACGGTAGTATAAATAAGTAAATATCACAACCCAAAATCAATATTCTCAGCATAAAGCTCAAATTCAATAAAAATGTTGTGTCATATTTTAGATTTCTTTGTTTTTAAATATTGAAAAAATTACCACAAATAAAGTTGTTAATGTCTCATGTCTTTAATCAAACTCTTGACACCAATAAAAGATTTTAAATTCATTTTAAGTTTAAAATTTAGATAAGAATATTTTAAATTTATTTAATTTAAATTATTTTTTACTTTTAAATTCAGTTATTTATTTAATACATTTTTTAAAAGATGTTCAAGTTATTATTACTTTTTTTAAACAGCATTTATAACATAAATCAAATCTTGCTTTAGGTTGCCCTTGTTATCAACTGATATTCATTTTGAGATTTTTTCTTCAAACAAGAACAATCAGTACAATAAAATATTTCATTTAATTAAATTTAAAATGTTAAAAAATACATTTTTTAGTATAAAAGATTTTGTTTTAACCTTGTTTAGAATTTCTCACTGTTAAAAGGTTAAATAGTTTTTTAAACTTAGTGTCAGCGAAGGTTTTGAAGAAGAAAACAGTTGTTTATCTGAAATTCCTAATGAAGTGTATGATAAATATTTTATTGATGCAACAAGTATCTTTATCATTTTAAACTTTAATTTCTTTGTTTACCTTTTTTCACTTTATCACATACCAATTAATATACATATAATGTGATTATTTTTATTTGTTTTTTTTTTTAATACTGGTATTTATTTATTAGAGTCAATAAAGACTATGTTTCCCAAGAATCTAGCGTTCAATCAGAAAGTCCTGATAAAATGTATGGTATATTTATTTTATTAAGTCAAAAACTTGAAAATTAAAAAAAAGAAAAAAAAAGAAACAGTGGTGAAAGAGTTTATTAGCAACACCTTTTTTGAATTAGACTAGTTTATAAGAAAGTAATTTTTCTAGAGTTTAAATAAAAATGTACTTTAAGGTCGACCTGTTAATTGGCAAATTTACTTGAATGTCTCCCATTTACCCATTGCACAGTGGGTTAATGGAAAGAATGTGAAAAATTTAGTATTCTAATCTCTAATTTAATTTCAGTTTCTATATATATTAAAAGATTTATATATATATATATATATATATATATATATATATATATATATATATATATATATATATATATATATATATATATATATATATATATATATATATATATATATATATATATATATATATATATATATACAAAATTTAGCCAATGTAGCAAATGAAATTACCTAGTTGCAATATAGATATTCATAAAAATAACACAAAAGCAATATAGGTATTCATAGCAACCAAAAATTAATGAATATATTAAAATAACAATACTCAAATTAGTGAACAGTGGAAAAAATGCTCCTTAAATATTCTATATACCATGAGTTAGTAGTTTTGTCCAGAAAAAGTGAGTTTTAACCTACTGTGCACTAATCATCTACTGGCTCCTAACGTTAGACTTTATAAATATACCTTAATTTTGATGTTGATAAATATTTTATCAGCATTTAACATTACTCTTTTTGTTTTTGTTTTTTGATAACAGTAGTTCTAATAGTTTATGATTGATAATCTAAATTTGATAACATTTATTTAGTAGGTTTTAAGATATTTATAAATCTGTTTTTAATACTAGGGCCATTGAAAGTTCTGCAGAACCAAAGCTTTTATTAGAAAACTTGAATGAAATGTAAGTTGAATGCTATTTTATTGACACTACAAGATGAGTTATGAAATAAGTAGTTAATGAACTATTCTTTATTTTTAGTTGTCCATTTGTTAGAATGTATACTAACTCTATTTACTGGTGCAACAAGTGCCTTTACTTTAAAGTTTCTTTATAAAGAATAAACAAAAATGTTTTTAATGAAACAATTCAATCACAAAATTATTTTTAATTAATGCAGTTTATAATAAGGTTTTGTTTGTTTAGATTTGATAAAAAATGTGTTGAAAAGTCACAATTTTCATTGCCAACTCAGTATGTTTTTTTATGAAAAAATTTGCTTTTATTAGAAAATTTGAATAAAATATAAGTTGAATATTATTTTATTGATACAGCAAGGTATATGAAGTAAGTAGTTTTTAAATTATTCTTTATTTTTATATGTCCATTTTTGTTACTAATAAAATTTTCATCATAGTTTTGATATAAAAAGTTCTGAAGACCCAATATGTTTGTTACAAACTGTGTAAGTTTCTAAATTCTTTTTCAATATGATCCAATAGTTTTTTTTAATAACTTACTATACATAACAGTAATGTACCAATTACATATTTGCGGTTGATGCAGATGGATAGAAAAAGGCTGATGTAGATTAGTTAACCAATTATTAAAATGTTAAAAGCAACTTATGTTAACATGTAGAGCTGTTACTTTTTGATGCATGTAAAAGGCTAATTGCATGTGGAGACATGAATGAGGTAAAATTGGATTTGTCGAATAAATATTTAAAGGTAAATGATGTTTAAGTTTTCAAATGCAATGAGATAAACCGTTTGTAATACAAGGTTTATAAAAAAATCAACTAAATGTTGATTTAAAAAAAAAAATTATTTGTCAGTTGTCAGTGGCTCATATCAAAGAATAAAATTGTCTGAACACGTAATAAAGATTTAGGAATTGTTGACAACAAAATAAAAAGCTATGTGATAAGGTTTTTGTTTTATAGTATTTATAACAAACAGTGTGGTTTTAAGCCAGGAAAAGTCAATTGTAAAATAACATGTGATGCTTTTAATACATAGCCATTCTTAATATTACTAGCCATTATATACCACCTAACTAACTCTTGGCTCAACTCACTACTTCTCTTAAGGTTTTTTTTTTCTTACCTTTAGGTGGTATATAATGGCAAGAATGGCTATGTATTAAAAGCATCACATGTTATTTTACAATGGTATCTATTTCAATGGAGATGATCTATTCTTAACTAAAGTGACAGAAAAAAATATATATTAATAATATTTCAGTGTTGGAAGGATGGAATGACAGTAAAAGGGCTTAGAGGAAATAAAAGTTATGCATTGTTATGCAATGTTAGTTATATTGATTATCTATTTTATAAATGAAGTTTGCAGTATATTTTTTTGCTTTTGGTTTTGATAATATTTCTAAAATCATTAAAAAGATTTTCATTTACACTTTCCTCTTTATTCATTATTTTGAAAATTAAATTTATGCACTTTGATTTTGGTAAAAATGTGTAGCGTAATAAAGTCGAGTTTAACTATAAATTAACCTTTTTTTAACATTTGATCATTTGTAAGAAATAAAAAAATTATTTAATAACGTGATCACTGTTCTGAGAAGAGAAATCTAGTATTAGAGTTTCTAGTTAAAAAATTGAAATAAGAAAATCATTATCAATTTTTTAATAATGATTTTCTTATAAAAATTATTTGTGCATAAGGTTAAATAAAATCAACTTTCTAAGCATTTTATGATTCTTAAAAAATGTAAAACTTCTTAATTTAGAATTAAAGAAGACTGTGTTTTTGAGACATCAAGTTATTCAAGCAAGAATTTTCCAAAAAAGTATTTTTTTGTTTTTGTTTTATGTGAAATTGTTTTTAAAAGATTAATTCAAAAAAACTTTCTAGGCATTTATTCATTCCTAAATGTAAAACATTTTTATTTAAGTGTTGGTGAAAGTCTTGCTACTGAGAATTCAATTTATTCAATTGAAAATCATCCAAAAGAGTATACTTAATCTTAATTTAAAAATAATTTGTTAATTTTATAGTGTTTGAAATATTTATTCA